AATTATTAGTATACTTTAATTTGCAAGATAATATAAACTTCGAAGAAATTTTTGCTAAAAACTAAACTTATAACTTCATAAATTAATATTATAAAGAATTTTATTAAAAAGGAATTTTTTAAACAATTTTTTATTAAAACAATATAATTTTAAAAATTTACATCGAAATAAATTTTGTCTAATATATATAGCGTGTAAATTTTGTTAGGGTATATAAATATTTCATATTACTAATCTGTGATTTTTGTTAATATATTGTAGATGCATTTAACCTTTATTGACATATTTCCTTATAAATAATAGAAGATTCTTAAACTTATATCTATTGACATATTTTGCGTGACTAAGTTGGAAGGTGTGGGGTAATTTACCAAAACCAGATTATTAAGCGTATCTTTGTTATTATAGATATGATTTTTCATAAGATATAGTAATGATAAGATTATTAGAGAGTTAATGTAACATCACTTTCTAGTAATAGTCTATTTTTAAAAAAATCACACATGAAGTCAAGTCATGACTTCTGTTTTAATATATAAGATATTATTTAACATAATTATGTACAAACGGTAGTTAAATTAATAATTATAAATAAATAAAAATATTTTAGAAAATTATATTAATTTAACATCAATTAATAATAAATAATTATATAATTAAAATCAATCATGTTAATCGATGTCAATATTTAGATCATTTGAAAAACTGATGTACTATTACTATCAGTTTTACAATTGATACCTATTAACATCATTTAGAATAAGTGATGAAAATATTTGATATTCTTACATCAGTTTTGAACAAAATGATACAAAATATTTGCATCACCAAAAAGTAAGTCATTTATTTAAGTGATGTAAAATATTTTTACATCATGTATAAGTGATACAAACATATAAAATAAATGATTTAAACTAAGCTTTTTTTTTTGTAGTGACACGTGGAATCTATTCAACTGAACCAGAAGGGAAAGAGCTTTGATCTCTGATTAAAAAGCGGATACTTTTATGAACTCATTCCATATTCGAGAATAACAGTAGAAGGTGAAGTTCTGTTCAGAAATATGAATTAAAAACACAACAAAAACAAAGAACAAGATCGCCTAATGCAAAGAAACAAATTTGATCCAAAGATCGAAGAGTGATTTTACAACAAAAAAAAAATATTTTCTCTTCTGAAAATTCATCTTCTGTGTAAGATAGAGATGAGAGAATATGAGAAAACATTTATGATTAATCTATGTTCATGATCTTTGAATACCTTGAACAAGTAATTATATATTTAGAAGTAGATAGATTAATTCTTAAAATCAATCATAAAACTAATAGATTAGTTTATCTGAATCTGAAAAGAAAAATCTAACAACGGATTAAAGTTTTTCAGACATGAATGAAGATAGTCAAAAATAGTGCAAAATCGCATTTGTGATCAGTTTCTAAATAGTTGTATTAATTGTTTAATAGGAAAAACTATTTGAAAATGTAGTAAATGAAATTGTAATAAATAGTTCTTTTTGCTAAATATTGTGATAAATAGTATTAGTGTTCCACTAGGCACCATGGAAATGTCCGGTTTTGATAAAAACATATCTGATAAAGCAATCAATCTGTGTGTTTATTTGTGTTGTGAGTGAGCTTAATCAATATGTGTGTTTTTAAGAGTGTTTATTTTTATTTTTAGAATGTGACTGGTTATGATTTCTTTGTGTTGTGTCTGAGTTGTGTTTACTTTTATGTTTTCTCTATGTTATTATGTGAAGCAATGTTATTAAAAAAAAGTTTAAGAATTTATGACCATGAACCATTACGATATGGTTAACTTATTTGTATGAGATATGGTTAACATGTTAGTATGAGATCAACAAGGAAAAACAATAAATATCTAATTAGCACATTAAATCTAAATGATATCCTATTTAATTTAAAAATATTAAAAAACTATAACACCTAAACTAGGGGTGTCAAAATGAGCTATAGTTCATAAGCTGTTTAAGTTCAGTTAGATTTTTCATGAACATGATCTCTACTTTTTAGGCTCATATAATAAATGAGTTTAATGATCGAGCTTAAATTAGATTATGAGTTATATGAACGATCTTTAATGAACATGAGCTAACTCATAAGCTTGGTCGTTTTATAGTTTATATGTATATATATATATATATATGACTTTTATTTTTCTTATGTAAGAAAAAATAGTTTCTATTTTAATCATATTTATCTCATAAAATTAAAATATAAAACCAAAAAGTAATAAATATATATATATTAAAATGTAAAATAATATTGATATAAATACTCATATCATATATCCTTAGAACTAAAATATAAAACTAAATATTTCTAACACTTTGACGCAGAATATATATATCTTTATGATTTGAATAAATAAAGTGTTTGAATATGAATCATGACAAGACTCTTATGTAGAATATATTTTTAGATCACTAATTAAGTTTTTATTTAATATATTATTAGGTTTTGGTTATTTCAGTATTTAAATATTTACGCTTTGGATTTTAAATTTTAATTATTTTTATAGTTTTTATTATTTTAGATCACGAGTTAATTCATTGAGCTCATGACCTAGATGATCTGAGTTCGAATTTGTATATTGAAGCTCATATTATAAATGAGCTGAGCTAGCTCATGAAAGACCTGAGATCACCATGAGCCGAGCTGAGTTGAGCGAGCTAGTTCATTTTGCCACGCCTCCTATACTAACAGCATTTTAATTTTGTAACTTTCTTGAACTATATACAGTAAAACCTCTATAAATTAATAATGTTGGGATTACACTAAAACTATAATTTGTTTATTAATTTATAAAGATTATTAATTTATCGATATACTAATTGAACTAAAAATTCAGTTTGGGATTATAAAGTTATATTATTTTATAGAGATTTTTAGTGTATATTAATTTATAGAGTATTAATTTAAAAGAGATTATAATGTATATCAATCTTTAGAGATGATTAAAATATTGGATATACTCATCCATTAATCTCTATAATATTATTTGAGAAGTCAGTTTCCTATGTGGCGCGCTCACGTTGACTCTTACACCGGTTGATTACTATGATACCCTTGATGAATATATTTAAATAGTATATTTAAATAATATTATTAATTTTATGTTTAGTTTCCTTTTTAAAATATTCCAAATAACTTTTATAATAAAAAGGAAAAAAACTATTAAATTTAAAAACGAAAATATATGTTTATATAATATGATTTCATTAAAAAGGAAAGTTCACAAAATAGTAATATACTATCAAAATAGTAAAATAATATTATTAGTTTTGTATTTAGTTTCCTTTTTAAAAATTTCCAACTAAAATTTATAATAGAAAAAACATCATAAAATTTAAAAGGAAAAATTAAAAACGAAAATATATGTTTATATAAAATGATTTCATTAAAAGGGAAAATTAACAAAATAGTAACATCCATTAAAAATATTTTAAATAACATAAACTGTACTTTTTAATTAATAAAACACTTTCTTTATATCTGTATTTTCTTATATGAAAATATATATTTTTATATAATGTGATTTCATAACAAAAAATTCACACATATAATAATTTTGATATTTGAAAAAAAAAATTTACTTTTAAACATAATTTTAAGTAACATAAACAAGTATATGTTTTTATTAACTAAAATAGTTTTTAATTAAAATTATTGAATATTTATTTATTTTCATATATTTAGTTGACTATTAAAGCAAAAAAAACAAAATATCTATAAATTAAATTTTACTTATATAATATGATTTCTCAAACACAACCACAATTTTTACTGCTTATTTTTAAGAGAAATTAAAATATTTTTTAACAATAAACATCTTTTAATAAAATAATTAAAAAAATATTTTAAATACCACTATATACTTTAATGACATAGATATGTTATATTCTATCATTATTTAAATTATATGTTTCTTAATTTTATTTTATTTTTAAAAAATTATGTTTGTGTAACTTAATATAACCATAATAAAAATACCAAAGCACATCCGAATTCTCATCTTTAAGATTATTTAAAATAATTTCAGTTTATCATTTAATAAATCTAAGATATAAAATTATTTAGAATTTATAAAATATTTTAGTTATTGTAAATATTGATATGTGTTCATGAATCTCCAAAAATTTATGAGTTACTTAAGTATGTAACTTCCTACTGATTATTGCTTTATTTTCTACTATATTTTAAAGAAACATATAACTTGATAAATATTATGAAAATACGTGCACATTTAAATGATAAATAATATTACTTTAATTTGATTTATTTTGTGAAATTTATATATATGCATGAGACTTCAAAGATTATCTTTATATCGATTGATG